AGAAATAATATCAATTTGTTCTCCTTTAAAAAAATGACGTAGAGGCGGAGATTTTCAGACACCGCAAACGAGTTATGTGATTGCCGACTTTCACCGTCGATTTTTGTCAAAATAGGGTGAAAAATACGAATTTAGGATCTCGACAGAAATACCAATGAACGTGTACAAAAATGAGGCGTGAGAGGTTTAGTTCATTTTTAAGCCAGAAAACGGTGCGGCGAATTCAAAGCGTGCATGCAACTATTCGTACTCTAGGGATGCCCATATTGCATACCCAAAAAACTGAAGGCACTCTGGGTTTTTAAGGCACCAAGTACATTGATTATGTGTATTTGGATAACCTACGCGGCTTTTCATCGTTGTAACATGACTTTTAAGACATGATACGACGGAAATCTTTTTTTTTTTTTAGGGAGGGCATAAAATTGACAAATGCGAGTTTTTTTGTAATTTTTCTTCAATTACATGCCTATCTTTCATAAGAACGACCGAAAATTGGCCATGTTTGTGCTTTTTTGTTATAAATAGAGCTTGAAAGGGCACATTTGCCGTATCACAACGGATAATCGATAAACTAAGTAGCTACACGCGCCTGATCTCAATTATCTTCTCCTTTATCTTATTTTTTTTCCTATTTTCTTACACTCCCTCTCCCCCCCCCCCCCNTGATTCTTACTTTTCTTTCTTTGTACGCCTTTTTTCCCTTCCTATTTTTCTCCCTTTCTTTTTAAGAGAAAGAGAATTTGTTTCACTCTCGTGGGTCCGCGACAGAAAAAATGCCAAGGAAGGATATTAATAATATTTCTCAGAAATGAGTATATTCCATCGGGAGAAATTTGGCAACTCGCGAATGATCATACAGCGTTCTTCTATACCACAATGGAACAGTTGAATATTAAACCGAGAGGAACGAAGATAAACTGAGCAGTGCGGTCGAGCTTCGAGGATATGACAATTGTTAACATTTGTACAAGAACTTATTGATGGAGTCAGGAAATCGGTGTCCAAGTTCTCGTGGTCAAAGCACCAATAATCACAATTGCTATGAGACCCTCGCCGAAGGCCCAGACTCGACAGTAAATTTCTACGAGTCGTTTTATATGCAAATCAGTGTCATTCGGCAAATGTTCGTCTATTCATACTTCGCGGTTCATTCTCATAAAATCATAAAATCATCATTTGTTGTATAAATTTATTGGCTTGCTCCAATTATTAATTCCTCTCCCTTCTATTGGCATAGATAATTGGCGCATTTCTAAGCTAATCGCTCCCAATTTTCGGCTTCAGCTGATGTTTTCCGATGCAGAGATGCCATCCTGGAAAGCTGGCTTGACAAAGAGCCAGAATTGGACTGCATTTTGCAATTTGGAATTATAAATTCTGGCTCTTCTGGAAAAACACTTATGTGCATAGGGAAACTAATGGCACATACGTTGTTTTTAAACCGGGCTAGAATTTATTCCAAATTGCAAAATGTAGTCCAATTCGTCGTTTTTTCAAAATCGGAACGTAACTCCAATCTGAGGCTACAAAATTTAATTTTTCACAAGGATGCGAATTCAAAGCCTCCGTTTAAAATTGTATTTTATTTTCAAAAAGTTTACTTTTTCCAAAAGTGCATCTGATTGAGCCACGCCCCACTCCAAATTTTATGTCAGAAAATCTTAGTTTTTTCTAAATTTTAAGGAAGGCGGTGGACCAAAACTCATGAATAATGACTAATACACATACTTAAAGCGCGTAAATCTCCATGGCTTCATAGTTATCAAAGTATCACGTTGAAGAGGGGTTTTGAAGGATAAGAAGGGGCTTTGAATCTTTCAAGGTAAATATCAGGTGTTTTGGTACTTAATTAAAGGTGCTAGTTTCAGGACAAATCGGCGTAAAATAATCTCGGAAAAACTTCGTCAGAATGTCTTTCTCCGGGGAAAGTATCATAGTTGCACATCAGACACAAAGTTGAATCCATCCCTTCCCCCTTCCTCTAGCCCTGCACCTCCTTCACTCTGCTTGGTTGTAATCCGATTATTGATGTTCCAAGTACTGTTTTCTGTTTTTTTCTAATCGCAAGGCCAGGAACAAATTTTTTTTAACATTTTTTTTAAAGTCAAGTGGAAGTTCATCATCTATACTTTAAGCGCGTAAATCTCCATGGCTTCATAGTTATCAAAGTATTACGTTAAAGAGGGGTTTTGAAGGATATAAAGTGGCTTTGAATCTTTCAAGGTAAACATCAGGTGTTTTGGTACGTAATTAAAGGTGCTAGTTTCAGGACAAATCGGCGTAAAATAATCTCGGAAAAACTTCGTCAGAATGTCTTTCTCCGGGGATGTAATTCAAAGAATTTAAGTTTGAATTACCAAAAAACATCATAGTTACACATCGTACACAAAGTTAAATTCATCCCTCCCCCTCCCTATAGCCCTGCATCTCCTCGTTCTGCTTTGTTTTAAATCCAATTATTGATGTTCCAAGTACTTTTTTCTGTTTTTTTCTAATCGCAAGGCAAGGAAAAAATGTTTTAACATTTTTTTTAAAGTCTAGTGGAAGTTCATCATCTATACTTAGAGCTCCGAGATCTCCTAAAATTGCGTATCTGGTAACGCTTAGTTCCAGCGTTCTACCGAGCCGATTTTCATGATTTTTGCAGGTATCGGCAGGTAATTGTCTCTAAATGAGCCCGCCGTAATTAGCATTTGAAAATAGGATCCAGGTTTTTTTTTTTTTTTTTTATATATATATTAGAGGAGACCAGAAAGCTTAGAAAGGGGGCAAAATTTGAAGTTGAATCTTGGTCTGTTAATAGGGTAAGTGAATCGAAGGTATGCTCCTTTGCTATCCAAAAGTGACGAAATGCTCCGTTTCGTTTCATTTCAGTCTTGGCGGGAAGTTCGAAATAAATGCCGATTTTTTCATTCGATTCTTACTGGTCCGATTGCTCCCGGCCAGAGGGAGATTGGATAGATGAGAGTCGGGTATGAAAACCTTTTCATTTTTGTTGGTCGTTTTTTTGTCGACGCGAGCCGAAGAGAACGCGAAGCGCCCTCTAGGGGTTGGGCCGCGTAGCGGCCAGGGGTCATAGCCCCCTAGTATTCCTCTATTACGCTACTTATTAGGCTTTTGCAGGTGAACTCCAGGTTGAATCAGTGAGTACCTGTATCGGCGGCAAATCTTCCAAACTACGAGTATCTCGGTTTATGACGTGTTATACTTTATTTTTAAAATGAATAACTACTCGACGTAAATCCTTCGAAACGTCTGTGACTTTTCTTCTCTGCGCAGAGAGGAAACACAACACAAAAGTTTGTTGAACACGGGATTTAGTAAATTACAAAATAACCAGTGGCGTGGCGTGAATAATCGATTATCGATATCTTGCCATTTGAAGCTATGGCAAAGAATCGATTACTAAGTTGTTCGCTGCTAACACCCTGATAATCGATCTTTTTTCATAGGTTTGAGTCTCGTATCAATCGATATATCGCAAAGCACACCACGCCACTGCAAATAACCCAAACCTTCGGCTGACTCGGGGGTTTCTCAGTAGCTCCATTGTTTTCTGCGCTAAAGTCGCCGCCAATTTCACCAAAATCAACACAAAATTTGGGTTGATTTTGTGTTTCACTTCCCACAAGAACCAAAAGTAACACAAAAGCACAAGTATTTCTCTCAGTGTGTGCGAAAAAAATTCTGTGACCATTTCAAGGAATGTAGTTGTTTCCCTTTAAATCATATATTGGCTTGGATATTTTAATGTGCTGGTTACACGCTCAAATTCCCATCAATTTCCGATCAAATGGTGACCGATGCGCACCATCTACCATCAAATTTCTGCGGCCTGCAAAAATTTGATGGTAGATGGAACTGTGGGGCTCATCCCTCATCTGATTTCCACACAACCGTGCTTATTTTATTTCACGCTTATTTCAATCAACACGCTGTTTTAATTAATTTTACTCATCAATCTAGATAACTCTCAACGGCCATCTTGGTCATCATTTTGATCGGAATTTGACGGAAATTTGAGCGTGTAACCAGGCCATAAAACACCACAAACAAGCATAGAGTACATAGAGTCGTAATGTAATGGACCACTAGACAAGGTACGAATTTCAGCCATCTGATACAAGTTTCTAAACCAAAATTGTATGTAGAACACGATTCGCACAACGAAAATTACCGAACCCAACCCCTAACTACGATATTAACGTTTTTATTTCACATTGGTTACAGGAATTTGAACTGCCCCCTCACAAGAAACTCAAAGCTCTACGTGAATCAAATCGCGCAATACAACGGTTTCAGCAAGCTTCTCAATCGAGCAATGTTCATTTCCCACCATGTGTTGTTTAAACTATAAGCAATTTGCTACAGCTGAGCCAAAGTGTCAAGATTGAGGTTGCCAGATTTTTATAGCGCAGAGACTGTCATGATAACGTTTAGTGCGCGATGTGAATCACGCAGACCATCGAGTTTTCATGAGCGGGTGGTTTGAATTCACACATCAGGAATCATTAAATATCTTCGTAAGAAGTTAATTTCGGTAATTTTTGTTGTGCGCATCGTGTTCTACGTGAAATTTTAGTTACAAAACATGTGTCAGAATGCTGAAATTCGTACTTAGTCTAGTGGTCCATTGGGAGAGCTGGCGCCACTTTTAAGCATTTTCCATGTCCCGAATTCCGAGACTCCTGTGTGACGCCGGGTCACTTTTTCGATACATAATCGATTGTTTGCTATACACGGGTACCCGGCCATCCGATGACAACAGCAACAACAACGGAGATAGGAATTACCACGTATTCCACACCACCATTTTGGATCGAAAATGTATCGAAAAAGCGACCCGAACTCGGCGCACACCGGGCTCGGAATTCGTCGAGTAGAACATGGCGCCAGCTCTTCCATTTACATTACGACTCTATGTACTCTATGATAAAACACCACAAACAAGAGACATGGTCTAGAAGTTTCACCGTGGTTCATTTTCATTGTTGCAGGAGTGATAATATTCGGATCGGACCAAGAGGTAGCGGGCGTCATGAAAGCTGTTCGCCGTTTGAACGTCACTGGGTGGTTCTCGTGGGTTGGCTCCGACGGATGGTCAGCACGCGCCCTCGTCTCGAACGGCAACGAGAAAGAAGTCGAGGGCACACTCTCCGTCCAACCCCAAGCCAACCCCGTGAAGGGGTTCGAAGAGTACTTCCTCAACCTCACCGTTGAAAACAACAAACGGAACCCCTGGTTTGTCGGTAAGTTCCAGCATAAAACCTACAAATTTATTTTTTTTCGCATATCGTCACCTTCCAGGCAAAGTATCACAAGCGCCATGCGACGTTTAAAAATTTCCGCCGCCATTTTATTTCTTTACTGAGAAATTGTTGGTTGAATCTGTTTGGAAATTTCACTAAATTTTATCGGCAGCACAAAGAAAATTCAGTGAAATTTTCGGACAGCTTCGTCGAACAATTTCTCTATAAAAAAATAAAATGGCGGCGGAAATTTTTAAACGTCGCATGGCGCATGTGATACTTTGCCTGGAAGGTGACGATATGACATCAGCAATACGGAAAAAAGAGGAAGGGGTTAGGTCCCAACCCCTTCCTCTTAAGAAGGTTGAAACCTCTTCTCAAACTTAATATGGCAAACTTTGGCTCGGTGCATCGAAAGTTTAATGCGACGTACCCAAGGCTCATAGTTTGCCCGTCCAAAAATGTCTCGTGATTTGAAGCCAGAAGCGTACAGTAGACTCTGGATTATCCGGATTAATTGGTGCCGGGACCGATCCGGATAAAAAAAAAATCCGGATAATAATAGGAAAAACAAACACCACCAACCAGTTTTCTTATCGGAACTTATCGGAATGCGTACGTAGTTACATGGTTGCAAAATCGATCCGGATAATGCAGAGTCCGGATAATACGAAACCGGATAATCCAGAGTCTACTGTATATTCTTAGTTCTTGTGTCAAAGATATGTCATTATTTAAAATAATAATGAAATGAAGTTGCTGTAATATGTAAAAAATTACCCACAGTGAATGAAAATGCGCACAATCTATTTGCTGAGCGGACAGCATTACGTTTTTTGTTAAAGACCTCAACTCCTACATGGAGATGATAATACCACTATTCAACCTCCGAGGAGCTCGTCTTGCCTATACTACCCAGTGAAGGCGTTTTCGTTTTGGGATTGCTCTGCAGTCCACGAGGACCCTCCGTTAGCGTCGTTAGGAGGCGAAAGGACTATAGGCATCGATTTCCTGACAGCTATTGCACGTATGTGATACAGAGTGTCCACTATACAATTTCATTGCGGATTTTATTAATATTTTCCTGAAATATTAAATAAAACTTTCTGATTTTTAGCATGAATACATTGACACTAGTTTGACCTCACAACAACTTTCCAACACAACCAACATCTTTGGGGAATTCAATCAAGCTTTTTACTTCCGCCTGTGCTGAATCGCATGCAGTTAAAAAATGCTTGACGCACTTCGAATTTCCTGATCTATTACCGACTTTCTTGACATATTTCTGATTATTCCTGATGACATCGAAATTCCTGATATTTTCCAGTTCTTATTGTCGATAGACACCCTGAAATGACAAGTGACAGATCAATCCGAATTGCGGACGTCCGATTTACGAATCACCGCAGGTTTAGCCCAACTTGCGGTATGCTATATTCGATTATAGCGATTGATATTTTCGCAGCAGAAAACGGTTTGAGAAAACCCTCCGTTACCCACAACATGCACAAAAATAGGCCAAGAGAACCAATTTGAATTATGAATGGTTTTTCATGAAAGACTCATTATCATTCTCTAGTATCTCCCTAGTATTAATTTGCCTGATGAGCGTGACTAACTCCTCACGGCTGTATTGAAATAAACGCTCTCCTCAAGTTTAACTTTTGCACCTGGTTAATTTTTAATGAAGATATAGCTATAGTCAATATAGAAACGCGACCTCCTCTTCTTTTCTTTCATCTCCACGGATTGGAGCGCTTTCAAACATTTGGTCACATTGCGAAGAAAAAACACACTGGACGTTGCCAATGTTTATTTTAAAGGTATGAGTGAATTTTTGTGAAAATTGTTAAATTTTAAGAAATTTTAATTAAAAATTTAATCCTGCGTGTCTTTTAAGGAAAAATTTACGTAATTTCTTTCAAAAATAAATGTGCAATGGGCGTGAATTCATAAGTGGATTTAGAGACATGGAACGGGGGGGGGGGCGAGGTCGTCGGTGGAAGGGGGTCCGGAAGGTTTTTTTTCAGAAAATTTTCAAACTTTTAGAGCATCCAATACGTAGCTTCAGTCAATTTCGTCATGAATAATCACCGAAAATACGCTTCCCTTCTTCTTCTTTCCTCTGTTCCTTTCTCCTCTCTTTCCTCCCTTTCTCGTCCTCCTTTTATCAGGCAAATGGGCGGCGTACGACCAGAATTTGCCAGAATTTGGCAACATTTTAGGGCTCAAATGACATTCCAGAGGAAGTTAGGGAAGCTGCAATTTTCCGTGAAGTCTACAGCTCATACAGGTTTCACCATTCTAACAATGATGCTTGACGAGTCAACGCAGTTTTCATTCTACCCTACTGAGAAGAAAAGCCGCATGGACGTTCCGACGTTGTAAATTTTTCCCAGGTAAAATTTGTATTTTTGGAAAAATCATCAATTGTTTTCCTGGGAAACTGTAAAGAAACGTCGATTAACATTCAATCTGAGATACCTGAGAATTTCAAGCAAAGACAAATGACAATTTGCGGGAAACTTACAAAACTTTACCTGCGGGAATTTCGCAGCAATCGGAGGATCATACGGCGTTTTTTATTAGCAGGGAAGCACTTTTATCGGAGTCATACCATCGCTGCGCTCGGGCTCGTGGTATGCGAATACGTTGATTAAATTTCCGTCCGTTTGTTTGTTGAGACTTTCCTATACCCTTTTCCCACGCAGGCGGGTGGCTGCAGGGTCGTATACAAATAAAGTTGCGAGCAGTTTATTTTAAGTGAAAGACTTTTTGTATGGGACGTGAGAAAACTATCTCGTCGACTGGAATGATGGTTCCCGTCATATCTCGTGGTTCCCGGAGGAGTTTTTGAGTCGAGTGTCCTCGAAAGAAATGTACGCGTTCCCGCAACACTCCGGAGGGCAATCGAGTCATAAATTTCGGAATTAAGTAATATCGCCTTATTCTTTGCTCCGGAGGAGAGCGTGACACCCCGCCTTCCCAGTCTTGTGCAATTTGTGCACGTAAAACCGAGATGAACAGGTTCCAAGAATATACACTTTTTGTGGGTATTCAAATGAGTACTTGTCGCAGACACGTCCTTTTTGTCCCTCTTGTTACTACTGAATGGCAGTGTTACCAAGTGTCTTATTCATATCCATTTCTATGAAAGATGTATTTCTTAAGAATTTTCGTACAATTTACTCGCCTTTACGGAAAAAAAGTTAGGGGCTATCCCCTAAAATTAACTGTGATACTACTCCAATAGTAAGAGGTAGTCCTGGGAAGTTTCCTACAGGAAATTTCAGGAAAATAATAGGAAAATCTGAGATGAAAAGTAGACACCCTGTATCACATGCAACATGCACATGCAAAAGCTATCAGGAAATCAATACCTTTAGTCCTTTCGCCTCCTAACGACGCTAACGGAGAGTCCTCGTAGACTGCAGAGCAATCGCAAACGAAAACGCCTTCATTGGATAGTATAGGCAAGACGAGCTCCTCGGAGGTTGAATAGTGGTATTATCATCTCCATGTAGGAGTTGAGGTCTTAAACAAAAAACCTACTGTTGTCCTCCGCGTAGCATATAGATTGTGCGCATTTTCATTCATTGTGGGTAATTTTTTACATATTACAGCAATTTTGTTTCATTATTCTTTAAAATAATGAGATATCTTCGGCAGAGAAGCTAAAAATATATGCCTCTGCCTTCAAATCATGAGACACTTTTTGAACCGGCGAACTGAGCCCTCTGCACATTGAACTGAACTTTCGGTTCACCGAGCCAATGTTGCTAGATTATACGATGAAATGTGGATATTTGACATGGGCTCAAATGGGGGAAAGTGCTGATTTTCAGCACTATTTGGCAACTGTGCACAGAGCTGAAGTTCTATGCTATCAATACTGAGTCTGTTGATCGAGCTCAGTCTCCTGAACCGAAGAAGTTTTTCCGTGTATCACTTTCAGAGATGAAAAGTGAAATTTCATAAGGCTCGAATAAATTTCACAAAAGTTGAAGTTTATTAATTTGTTTTAGAATTAATGATTAAACCTTTGGAGGTCTGAAAGCGTTTCGAATGGTCTTTCTGTTGATGCTGCGGTATTATGCTACTCTACTGAAGGTGCCACACACAAAGAGGGGGATTTTAGAGAGAAAAACCCAAACCTAATCTCTAAACTAAACGAAAACATTTGCAACGCTCAAATGTTTTAGGCTGGGGTAAAAAATTTCAAAATTTAGAATCACTGCTTCTAGGCGTTTCTTAGCCTCCTGAATGTATCCCCAAAAGTTTCAATAAATTTCATGAGATTTCGTATGAATTTCATGAAATTTTCCATCTCTGACAACTCTCTACTAGCAGAGAGTCAAGCCGCCTGCAAAAACGGCAACGCCGTGTGAGGCTGGTCACTGTATCCGAGTGACGTAATAAATCAACACTCAACACACTAATAAATCAACTTATTTCGGGTACCGCGTTCGATTCATTTTCATTGGTGGACTGAGCCCCAAGATAACTCGGTGGAGAAAACGTCGGCGGTGAAGCTCGGACGAGAGATTTATTCCTTATCCTTTTGTTTTTATAAACGATCTGAAAATTCCTTCCGCGACACTTTTCACTTCCGCCGCCGGTCTCATGCAGTGGCGAGGCGTCCATGCTCGATTATCGATATTTCCCCTTTTGGCGCTGTGATAAACAATCGATTATTAAAGTGTGCGTCGAGACACCCTGTTTATCGATCCGTTTCTACTGTTTTAAATGGTTGATCAATCGATATATCGCAACATCGGCTCATGCGGTCATTGTTTCGAGCTTCGGCCACTCTCATTTATCTCACTAATGCCTACCTGTTCAGCGAATTTCGCAGGCAGGTCGGCCCGTTTCCGTCACGGAGGCCGTGTTATCGAAATTTTCTGCCGCGCTGTCATTATTAGTATAATGCACTATCGGCGGCCTTTAGCCGAGCCGTAAAAAAGGGAGGATCCTTTAAATTGATTATGCCGAGATGT